TATATATATATATATATATATATATAGCATATGATGTGCTGGCGGAAACCCTTTATTTAAACATTACATAAAGAAATAAATTAAAACAGCACATATAAAATCATATCTCTTTCACTAAATCATAGTCCTCACGATCCAAGAGAAGCCAAGTTCCATCTTCTTGTTGAACCATTCCCTTGTGCTTCTCAGTCCACCAATTAGCAGGTATACAGTATTCATCTTTCAATGCACTTGAAGATTTGTTGGCAAGTGCGATATCACGATTCACCTCTAGTTTAAAACCTACTAAAAGTCCTAAACCTTGAGTTCCTGCAACTCCATGCATATAACACTCCAAATTATGCCAAGTGAGCACATCTCCAGGAAGCTTTAAATATGGAGATTTTGTGGTGTCAATTATTAGTTCCTCTCCTACATCTATATAGCCAAGCGGTGGGTATTTCGGAACAATATCCAATAAGTTATGAATTCTCAAGATATGAAGATTTTTCAGTTTGGAAAAGGCCTTATGAAAATTGAGATCCCCAACTTTAGGACTTGCGAATACAAAAGCTGTCACTGGAAACTCCTTGCCACTGCTTGTTTTGTTGATTCCATTGAAAGCTATGTCCACTGCATTTAGGGTTGCAAGTGATGCACCTAGGCTATGTCCGGTTACTGTTATGCTCACCTCTTCATTCTTATATTCCTCAACCAGTCTTTTCACTTCTTCAAGAACCTAAAATAAACAAGATTTAAATTTAACTCTTTAGTTTCACCGACTCAATATTTAAGATAGAAGGAAGCACGGAAAATGTTATTAGGCTTGACATTAATTAATAGGTTTCAATAACAAAATCAAAATATACCTGATCTCGGACACTATACTGATTAAACTTTGAACGTGGATTTTCTGTTGTATAAATATTGTAGAAGCCATGATGCACCAATGGCTTAAACAAAGGAAGTAAACCCCCATCACCAAATACTTTGGGTCCTGGGATAAGTAAAAATTCAAGGTCATTAACCCACTCCAGTGTCTGAATTGTTCCTCGCCAAGCAATTACAATATCCCTCCTTCCCAGTGCAACTTTACCCTCATCAGTAGCCACAGCAATATATCCCATAAAATTTGATTCCTTATTCCATGCTTCTCTTGACAATGATTTTACAAGGAAAGCACTAGGAAGGGGAATGGATGAAGTTGCATAAAAATATTTGGTTACGCGATATTTCAATGGGTCAAGTCCAACCTTGGCAAAAAGGTTTTCCATGGAATATCTGCTAGCTCCGGCATATTTGGATGCTGTCTCCGAAATGAAGGTGTCATAAGTTACTTCAGCCTTTTCTCCATATTGAATAATATATTTACGAAGATCAAGATCCAACGGGTTTAATAGCCCTTCCCAATTATTTTTGCCACTAAGTTGCTCCCATTTCTCAGCCATACTAGCCATTCCTTTTCTTCTTTTATGCTTTTTTACTCTGTTATTTCTTGGTATGTGCTTATCATTTTGGCCATCAAGTCCGACCTTATATAGTGAAGCTAATTCATTTCTCTCGAGGGTTTCTCGTGCATGAAAAACATGTTTTTTTTTGTTTTTTTTTGTTTTTTTTTTCTTGTTTTCCAGGTCATTATCCCAGTGCCAGACAAATGAAATGACCACACAATAGTGCTAATTAAAATTATAGTATATAATTAAATGTCAACATATTTCTAACTACCACCTACCTTCTGTCCCCTTCCCATTTCCATCGGGCTAGTAAGCCAATGGGAAGAGAAAAAAATGAAAACCCTAAACGGGATTGTAGAGAAAGATGTAACATAAAGAAAGAGGGTAACTTAGTAATTTCACATAGTCAGGTTATTAGTTAATGAACTACCAATCCTAGAGTTAGTTAAGCTGAATAATACCGACTTAGTCTAGTTAAGCTCAATTAGTTATAAGGTTAGCTTATATATATATATATATATATATATATATATATATATATATATATATATATATATATATCCTACACACACATGTTTAAAAAAATCAATTTTTGAAGTAATAAAATTTCTCTCTCTAAAGACTAGAACATTCGTTCTTCTCCTTCTTCTCTCTTCTCTACTTCTTCTCTCTTCTTCTGTTTCATTTCTTCTTATCCCTCATATACTATACAAATTGATCTAGCATAATTTCAGGGATAAACATAAAGATATCACAAATCTGTTCATGCTTACTCACATTTAATTACTTTCAGCACTTGCAAAACCTAATTAATAACTACGTGCTAATATTATTTAAATGTCACGTCAAAATCTGCGTTATTTTTGTGACAATTTAAAAAGAGTTGGTTCATCATTAATATATAATAATAACATTTATGGTGATTTGCCATTATATTTCAATGAATAACTTGCCGGCTATAGATTGATAATGCTCAACCTAACCTTTGTCAATAAACTGGTTCTGTCTCGCTCTTTCTGACTATTTATTTCTTCCCGTCTTAATTTACGTTTAACACATTTGTTTTAATACAGAAACTAAAGTAATGAGATGGAGCTTTACAATATGTAAATAAGTTAATTTTTGATTAGTTTGAATTTGTAGAAGAAAAAAATTAAGTTCTAAAATACCTATATTTGATAATAGAATAAGGACTGTGATGAAAAAGTGATGAAAAAGAGGCCAACTGTGAAATTTCCTAAGTGACCCGTGCAAAAACAGGCCGAAGATTCAGAGAACTGGATCCACCGCGGTTCTACCGCGACCGCGGCAGAACCGCGGTGGGAAGCAGCTGCAGAAGTTCAGAGATTCCGCGAGGGTGTTTGCCCGCGGTTCTACCGCGACCGCGGCAGAACCGCGGCAGGCGCAGAAACTTCTGGGACCAAAGTGTCAATTACGGGATTTTTAGACCTAAACCCTATTTAAAACATTAGACTTCGCCCAAGAGAGGCATGTATTGATTTTTTAGGTTTCTTAGCAAGGAAAACAATTGGGAGAAAATACTCTAAACATCCTTCCTCTTTTCTTTTGATTTTGATTTTTACGATGAATTCAAGCTTAGTTTATTTTTCCATAGTCATGAGTAGCTAAATTCCTTGTCTAAGGTGTTGATGAGACCTATTGGGTGATGAACTTCTTGTTTATGTGAATACAAATTGCTAGTTTAATCTTTATTTGTTCAACTTCGAGTTCGTTGTAGTTAATTGACAGGATCCTCAATTAGCTGTGCCTATTTAGTGTGCATAACTTGAAAAAGAGTGCATATTTAGGGTATTGTTGAACAACACCCTCCTAGATTATTAGAGGAATCTATAACTGCGGGTTTAAAGGCGGGATTAGGAATAACGAAGCCTTTGGTGCAATCTAAATTGAATTGTGCTAAATAAAGTAAGCTAGTGTATCTCGGGAGAGTGCAATAGTAAATTACTGTGATTACTCGGGAGAGATTTACGGTAAGATTAGCGTTCATGATTGATAGAGATGTGTGGATAAATTTGTATGAGCATAAACAGAAGGGATTCCATCAATAGGGGAAATCATTGCCTTAGCTTTTTCTCATAATTGTTTACAACCTTTATTTTTTACGTAGTTACAACCATTTAGTTATTTGCAAGCTAGTTGTTAAAGAACACTCAACTGAGATTTGAATATTTGGGAAGCTGGTTCTGAAGACTTAGTGGGTCTGAAGATAGCAGTTGATAGGTTAACTCTCTGTGGATTCGACCCTGGGCGTAATACTCGGGTTATATTTGCAATGTCCGCAAAGTCTTTTTTTTATAAGGCATAGTTGGGCGTGATCAGTATATTAGAAAAATATAAGTTTAACTTTATATATCGATAGTATAATGTTTAGTCATTCAAATGTTAATTAATTACAACTAATAATCTATACGTAAAATAGATTGGTAATTTGGACCTGACCCTATCACTAATCATTCTAGTGAAGATACTGAAGACATTAATGCCGACTTTGTAATTTTTGAACGAGAAGTTGAATCAACCAGCTGAAGTAGAAGATGTAACAGAAGACCATGTAATCTTAGAAGTTAATGCATTGTGGCTGTCATACAATATGACATCTCTAGACTATGTTGGTTGCTGCTGCTTTATTTTATTCGCTAATGAAATTGGCACAGGATACTCCACATGGCTCATTTAGTGGGGGTGTCTGGAGTTAGCTACTCCCCTTGAAAATCAATATAAAGCAAGATTAATTGACTAAACATAACTCATTTCATAAAATACAAGTAAATCAATTAATACAAAAGTTTGTTCTATGCAGTGTAGACATAGAAATCTGATTCAATGAAATCATTGTTCGAATTCATATATGTATTTTATGCAATGATATAGCTTATAAAAAAGTTATTGTTTAACCAGAAAATAGGAATTTCGGTCAAAGCCTATTTTTAGAAGTACTCAGGTTACTGATAATCGAGAAAATGAATATTTTTACAATAAGAAAGGAAAATTAGAATATGAAATAGCAAAGTAATTAATCAGTGTAAAGCAGAAGTAAATAACTATATTCCAGTAATAATTAGAGCGTGTCCATACAAATGACATTTCTGTTTCTTATAGACATCTCTAAGTACGTCTTTTCCCTTTATGACCAGGTCATTATGAGCATTAATGACATTAATGGAACGTTATAATTGGTAATCATAGCTATTTCGTGAAGATTCCGTAACGTTTGTAATCATTCATGTTCATTAATTGAACACCAATGAATCTGTCCTTTTTCTTGTCTTGGTTCATTCCACCGGTGTCTCTTCAAATTACTAAAGAGACTCCAACAACCGTTTTTTCTCGTCTATCAGACGATTTGCTCGTACCTATTAAGACTCACGTCTTTTTAAGTACTCTTTTCCATCTGTTACTTTTCTAATGATCCACGTGTCTTGCCATGTCAGCCACATATATAATTAATTCTACGTGTAATATTTATTTTCCCCAATACAGTTATAGTATTGGTTATTGAGAGGTTTTGTTCGAAGGAGGCAAACTTTGTAAGTGCATTTTTTTCCTGTGGGCTAAAATAATGGGTAATGGCAAGATTCGAAACTAGGACATCGCCTATTATGATACATTAATATTGAAATGGTATACCGTCTCATCTGAAAGTTTAAACTATTAGAGAAATCAAACTTTTATTTACTATCTAATAATGTCTTCTAACATATATAAATTAATTCGTACAGATATGTTAGCTAATTCAAAACAAAGATGTTAGCAATAATAGAAACTCTCATGACGGTGACCTAAACAATGTGCATCACGAGAAACGAAATAACCATATCTGTTGACTATTGTAAACGAAATAAAATACAGGAGCCGAGAAGTGAAATGTCCCCTCTATAGTCTACCAGTCAATTTTGTGCTACATTTTTTTTTATATTATAAGATCAACGATCAATTAGGTAAACAACACCCCTTCTATGAGGATTATCGAATAGAAGTGGTCTGAAAATTCTAACTTCCACTACGAATAAAAGCACAAAATGAAAGATCTTATATACGTATCAGTGACCCATATTAATAACATAATGTAAGGAGAATGGCTGAAGATTATTCTTTCATATTATTCCTATTCTAAGGATTTTTTCCTAAAAGGTGATCACGCCCAACTACGCCTTATAAAAAGGATAAGCGGTCGTTGCAAATATTATCCGGTTTACAAGTCCGGAGTCGAATCCCACAGAGAACTAAGCCTTAGCTACAGTTGTTCACTATCACCAAGAATACAAGCTTGAACAATTCCTAACTTATAGATATTAAGATTCTTGTGTTTAACTAACTAACTAACAAATTACAATAATAAATTAACACTAAAGATACTACAGGTTGGAGAGAAGATTAAGGAGGTCTAGAGTTATGATTTCCCCAATTGTCGGAATCCTTCCCGCTATGTCTTCTATAATTTCGCCTAAGTATTCTCTACCAATCATGAGCGCTCTGCGTGTTGTAATTCTCTCCCGAGTAATTACGACAATTTACTAGACATACTCTCCTGAGTTACGCTAGCTGGCTTTAATTACAGCTCACTTAGATCGCACCCAAGGTTTCGTTATCCCTAATCCCACCTTTAAACCCTTGGTTATTGATTCCTCACATACGCCGGGAGTGATGTTGTTCAACAACTACCTAAATATACACTCTCTCTCGAGTAATACATACTAAATAGGCACAGCTAATTGAGGGCCCTTCAATCAACCACAACAATAATATAGTTGAACAAATAGAGAAAATACTACGGCTCAATTATATAAAAACATAACAAGAATTTATCCTACAAAAGGTTCCATCAAAACCCTAGATAGCAAATTAGCTATTCATAATAGTATGTAAAACTAAAATACAAAAAGTCATAACCAACAATGAAAAATAGGAAGAGGAAGGAAAAACTCGTAGAAGAATTCTCCGCCTTGCTCCTACTGTGTCTCTGCCTCCTTAGGTCGAATTTGTGTCTCAAATCTGTCCAACCTCCTCAAAATACCATTTTTCCATGTAT